CAAGAATTTGAGTTTTCCTCTTCCTTTATTTTCTCTGTAAATAGCTTTAGAGCCCCAATTAGATAGATATTTGTAATCCAAATAGTTCAAAAAAGATTTTTTTCTAAAATTTATAATTCTCTCTTTGTTTATAGCCCAGATTATTGTCTTTTTTTCACAGCTGTTCTTTGTTGTTAAAGCTTTGAAGGTCACAAACACAGATTAGCTTTTCCCAGATTTTGCCAACTCTTATGTCATAGTCTTCATCTGCCACTAGGTGTCAGCAACTATTTGTTTTTCAATTTCCAAAATGAACAATTATTTTTGAAATGAGAGTCTTAACCATTAAAGCAATTTTAGATTTATCCAGAGTTAAGTTTTAAGTTTCAGGTTTTATATTTATTTCACTTCCATATATTTTGATCCTCCATAAAAAGATTAATTCGCCGCTTCCGTTAGTATAAGGGTGGGGCAGAAATCCCCCTCCTTCCCTTTCGGAGGTATTTTGCTTCTTGAGGATCTTTTCCAGGAAATTAAATATAAAAGAGAAAAGAGAAGATCAAATTCCTCACCCAGTTTCAAGCACGCTGTTCACAGTTGTGCTGGTTAATGCTTTTGGACTTCAGTTGCAAGTAGCTTGGGCTGGTCGATGCAATATGGCCAGCCTTTCTTCTGTTGGGTTAGAAGGCTTTCCCCAAATTGAACAGAATGGCTGCCATCGTTCCAGAATCGCTGGAGCACCCTTCTTTCTTCGTTGCCTCTCCGGGGCGACTTAGACCCATTTAGGGTCCCCAGGCAGGGCAAAATTAGTCACAAGCCCATTACCGGTCGCTACTGCGCAAAACTGGAAGTCCCTGAAGATATTTTCTATCCTCTACTTTTATGTAAGATTTATGCTGATCCTAGAAAAAAAAATGTTGCCTCATTTTATCTAGCAAGAAAATAATTTTTCATTACTGCAGACTTTTGTCACTTGCCAAGTTTGTTGTCGCTGCAAAAAAGTTTCATACAGATTTTGACCAACATAAGCAGGATGAAAAGTGAGAAACTACTCCTTTATAATTTATTTATATTTTTCACATAATGTATTACAGTACATTAGATATACTGATATTATGAGCACTAATTAAAAATAGGCAAGATTTAAGAAATCCTTTATAACATCACTTTTAAAAGTAGAAACCATTACTTAATATTCAGAAATGTTAGGGAACTGTAAAAAACACGTCTTTTCAGGGGATCATGTTATTAATGGTATCAAAGTCTAGTAAAGTTTGACAAAAATGTAAGCTCTGAACCAATAAACCAGCTGGCCACCCTGTCCTATATACAAATGATACTTTAGAATAGTCTTTCTCAGCCTTTGCAACTTTAAGATATGTGAACTTCAGCTCCCAGAATTCCCCAGCCAGCTTATCAGTTTTTGAGGTTTTGTTTTGCTTAATTTTTACTATTTTATCTTTCTTTAATGGGAGATACTCATAACCACTATACCACTATCTTTCTTATGCTTTGTCAATAAGGAGTGAACTTTCATTTTCAGGACCAAATATTCCTCATGATTGGATTACAAATATTAATGCAATAACTCAGGGAGCTGTGACATTACTTAATTGTACTACATAAATAAAATTAGGAAAAGTAATGCATGGGGAAAAGAAAAAAAATGTTATTTTTTTTGTATGGAAAGACTAAGTCATTTCTGGCATTAATTACAAATTCCAAGATAATCATATTCAGAGACATCTTGTTTCATAATTTTTAACATATAACTTGCATTATAATTTTGCACCTGCATCTAATGGGGGGGAAATAGGCTTGAAAGCTGGCAGCCCCTATTTTCGAAACGACAGTAATTTTTTGTATGAAAAGACAAGTCAATCCTGACATTAATTACAAATTTCATATTCAGAGACATTTTGTTTCATAATTTTAACATATAACTTGCATTATAATTTTGCACCTGCATCTAATGGGAGGAAAATAGGCTTGAAATCTAGCAGCCCCTATTTTCTAAGGACAGTAATTTTGGCATGTATCTACTTTTCACTCCATTGCATGGAATAATTTGAGCCACACATTGAATGTATGTTTTACTGCACTACACAAGAAATTAACAGACTACACTTTTATTCTAATTCTCGAATAAAATTAATTCTAACTCTAGTATTAAATAAATTAATTCTAATTAAAATTATATCCTCCAAGTTTCCATCTTTGGATATAAAATACTGTTCAGCTGCAATCTGACACCATATTTATTTTCTTATGTGGTAGTAGGTACTACTGAGTTCAACTTTTAATATGTATATATAAAACCTTGTAAAGAAGAATCTGTGACACTCAGGGAACAGAAAAGAAGCAACAAATAGCATTGGATAAGAAAAAGAAAAGAACCCTGCTCTTTAAGAGTTTAGGAGGAAGAGTGGTACTGACAATTGGACTTGGAAACATTGCTTTTCCTCCCAGACATACAATCATATAGAATAGAATAGATGGTTGACATTCTTCACAAGATCAAAATAAACATGACAGTAAATTAAAGCCCTTTACTCTTCTTTGGTAAAGGAAAATCAATTATCTGTGTCATATTCAGTATACTCTCTGAAAGGTTAATCATATAGTCTCTTTAAAGAGA